CCGTGGAGGTGCCCAGGGGTGATGCCCCCAGTGCCCGGCTGTGAGGAGGGGGCGAGGCAGAGCACGCATGTCGCGAGGAACTGTCAGCCATCGCGCGAAGCCTGTGCCGGGGTTCCTGCTGCGGCTCGAGACCTTGTGGGGCCAGGAGCAGGGGTAGCGGTGCCCCGCAGGAGTGCCGGGGACACGGGATGGGCAGCTCACGGCCTTGCCCAGGCTCCCAGCAGCGGCCTGGGCCTCCGGACTCTGCGTCTGGAGGGATTGACTGGGGACTCGCAAGTGAAGGTCGGATGGGAAGGAAGTGGCAGTGAGCGGGAAGCCGGGTCCTGGATGGGACAGGCTTCCGCATGCAGACCCCGCTCACGCCCTTGCTGCGCCCGTGGCCCGCCAGTCTCAGCCTTGTGCCCCTTCGAGCACAGCCTCGTGTCAGAGCTGAGCAGCCCTGGCCGGTGCAGTGGTCTGACTCTCCCCAGGCCAGGCCTGTGTCGGTGGACGGGGGTGGGGGGTGCGGTCCTCTTGTCCCCCTCACTGGGGCTGTTGCGGCCCCAGGATGGAGCTGCAAATGTAGGATAAAAGTATAAGATGGAAGTACAGGAGTTAATTATGAATTTAAAGATGACGGCTTTAAATCCGTCTACATCATGCTCGGGCTGTAACACGGTGACTTTCCATCACGCCTAACGGACAGCCAGGTTTTAAATGTGACCTGCCGAGCCCGACCGTCTGTCCCCCCCAGGACATCTGTCCCCCCCAGGACGTCTGTCCCCCACAAGGACAGCCTGTCCTCCTTCCCCCCCTCCCCCAATCCCAGGACCCTCCCTGCTGGGAGTCACTCTCCAACAAGACACTGTGGAGGGCGGGTCCCCACAGCCCACGTGTGTGGGGGGTGTTCATGGTTTGGGTCCCTCGTGCTGTTCACAGCCATGCGTGCAGGGAAGGCAGCCCTTATCCACTGACCACTTGGCGCCCAGGTGTCAGTGCACGCGTGTCCCTCCCTCCTGGAGAAGCGTAGACGCGTGTGGGGGAAGGCGCCGGGCACGGCGGCCTCAGGTGCACCTGTCTCCTCTGCTGAGGCGGGAGCAGCCGGGCGGGGCCTGGGCAGGGAGGTCTCTCACTGGGACTTGGGTTTCTCAGAAACTGAGCGAAGATGAACACGTTGAGGATCGAGTTGGGCTGGTTGTCCTGCAGCCGGAG